GTCCAGAGTCGGGGTCTAGGGATATACCTATCCCCATCCACATCCCCATTTTTTTATTTGGGTATTCCCATCACCGTCTCCATCCTCGGTCAACTTGGGGATTCTCCGATCAAAATGTTTGTGGGGTTTCGGGTTCACCATTGGGTATACGTTTTTCGCATCCCTAACCGTAATATCATAAAAAGCATTAAAAATTTATTATTTTCAAAATTGAGTTTTCATTAGCCATAGGGTAAAACATATATGAAAGCGTAAACATGTAAAAAGTGTGGGTTTTCTAGGTCAAAATAGTGAGGTTTTTACTTTTTACCCAATTTGTTCTATTTGTTGTAAATATCCTCCATTTCCATCTTGACCATCTCCATGTAAAAACTATTTAGCAAAGTATAGGTCCATTTTAGGTAATTTATTCTCTAGGTTGGGAGCGTAAACATGGAAACTTATGTGTTGTTTGTTTTTCATTTGTAAGCTACAAAACTGTAAGATTGGTCTCTGTGGTATTCAAAAAACTTTGAATAGGGTCCAAAAAGTTTTTCACTTGCATAGAAGGTCCAAAAGTAAGGTTTTTCTATGTTTTTTGTCCAAAAAAATTTAAAATGACGGTTATACCATTTTACTTTCTTTTTTTATATTTTTTCAATTTTTAAAATACTATTTTAATTTAAAAATAAAAAGAAAAGAAAATAACTCTCTCTCTCTCTCTCTCTCTCTCTCTCTCTCTCTACACCATTGGCGACAAAAAGGAGAACCGGCAACCAAACACCCATGAGGATCGTCGCTTCCCTCTACTGCTACTTCGGTATTTCTTTCCCCTTGTCCCTCGTGTTTTGCCAATGGAATAGAAGGAAAAAACCCAAAGAGGCCACTGAAGCAGCTCCCTCGCTGTACCAGTCACCCAATAGCGTAAGCCGCCTTCGTTTTCTTCTTTTATTTTGGCGATGGACCAAACTTCCACCGAACCACCCCTGTTCTGCTTCCATTCTTCTTCCTTCTCCCTTCAATCAAGTCGGTTCCCTTTTCCCCTCGATTTGTGGTTGCCGGCAACGAGCGAAGAGCCTAGGGGAGTTCTTCCCTCTCCCGATCAGTGAAGACGAAGAGTAAACCCACAAAGGGTCGTCGGTCTCGACGGACCCCCTTGCCCGTCCTTGTGATTTCCCATCTGCACCTCAGCTCCGGTCGATCTGCCTTTGTTCGTCTGTTCCTTGTCCAATCTGATGGAGACGATAATTATTCAAAGTTTTTTTTTATAGGATTTACAATGGTGTGAATTGGTTTTTTGTTGTAACAAAGAAGGTAATCAGCCATGGATGAGGTAGAAATAATAGAGGGATGAGAGAGAGAGAGAGAGAGAGAGAGAGAGAGAGAGAGAGAGAGAGATATGGTGCGTACAGTGGGAGTAAAGGGTGAGTGGGACAATTCTTTATTTTTTAATTATTAAATTGTTAAGAAAATGGTAAAATAATACAAAAAAGAAATTAAAATGGCAAAATAGACATTTTAAGTTTTGTAGGACTAAAATCACAGAAAATTTCTGATTTTGGACCTTCCATGCGAGTCGGAAACTTTTTGGACCCTATTCAAAGTTTTTTGAATACCACAAGGACCAATTTTGCAATTTTGTCTTTATAAGCTCTTTTAATCTTTTATGTTTATGTTTAGAAGCTCTTTTAACATTTTATGTCTACACGTCCTCCATTTTCATCTCCAATGACAGGTGACGGTGACGAGTCTGTATAAGGGTTTTTTTTTTTTTTGCCTAATCTTTTTTTTTCTATTTTCACTCTCTGTTTGATTTTTTTTACTGCTTTATATATATAGTTGTAAAAACGTGCCATATTAGAGATCGAGGGCAAAATGGTAATAATGATACTGCTATGAAATGTGGCAGTTTATCCATCTGTCACTTCTAAACAGGAGTAAAATAGTTTGTCTACCGATTTAGGCACAATATGTAACCTGTTAAACCTTTTTGAATTTGAAATTAGTTCATGAAAACAATTACATATAGATATAGTGTTTAATGAAAAGGAAGTTAAGATTCTGTAATCAAATTGTTGAGAACAATGGAGAAATAATAATAATAATGTTGAAAATGTATGAAATCAATACATGGAGAATTTGGCTTTGGTGTTTTCAAATACTTGTTCTGCAATAACTGCTCCATTTCCATCTGCTTTTTTAATCTCCAGATGAGCCTTTTGATAAAATCCAGTACCTCTTAAAGCATCTGCAATGAAATCATCAAACCCAATTGCAATTGCTGCTTCCGCTTTTGCCCCATAAACCAACCTCTGCATTCACACAAATAAACTAAATAACGAATCTTTATTTAGATTAGAGGGGTAAAATGGTCATTTACACTCTTTGTTAATGCAGAACGTAAAAGCTTGTTACAAAAGGGACAGATTTGTTTATAGTGTCGTAACTTTACTCTCATTTTAAGACAAAAGGGTAAAGCTGTCATTTAGATTAGAGAGGAAACTGCACCTTGATTCTTGAAAGATGAATGGCACCAAAGCACATAGGACAGGGCTCACAAGAGGCATAAATCTCACAATCAGAGAGCTCAATTTGGTTGAGTTTTTTACATGCCTGAAATACATGGTGTAAAAATATATAAGTAAAAAAAAATAATCTAGCAATGATAAAAATAAAAGAAAAGACTAAATTCACAAACTTTGAAAGTTTGACATTTCTCCAAAAGAATATACACAAACAGTTATCAAACAGACAGTCATTTTTTATTCATTAGACAGAAGGAGGGTATAATGGTCATTTACTATTATTTATTGGTAAAAATGAGTCTTAACTAACCTCTCTTATTGCTGTAACTTCAGCATGAGCAGTTGGATCTGTGTGTTTTAAAACCATGTTATGACAACTCACAACAATCTCATCTTTGCAAACAACAACTGCACCAAATGGGCCTCCATCTCCATTATCTACTCCTTTGTAAGCTTCTTCAACAGCTTTTGTCAAGAATTTGTGGTCTCTATCCTGTACAGCTGCTTGACAATTACCAAATACACACTTGACAACAATTACACTAACAAATAAAATATTTAACACCTGCTCCTAAAGCTTAAAAAGCATGAACATTCAGAATGTCTCATAATGGTTTTGATCCACAAGACTTTCTTCAATCTCTATATTATCAATATCAAATTGTGTTTTAGACATGCTTCTACTAACATGACTATGAGTCAATTGTTGCAATTGTTGTGCACCAAAGAAGGTTATGATAGTAATAACAAAATAAAGATATATAAGAGCATCCATGTGAACTCAAATGCAAGTAACTAAATAAAAAATTGATTAGGAGTGGATCTCATCTAACCTTGCTGGTGGCCAGAAAAAGCTGAAGCAACAGATATGGCTCCGTCTTTAGTTTCAACAACTGTTTAACAGAAAAAAGAAGAAAAAAACGTGAGTATGAGCATCCATAGACTGGAGTAGATGAATATAAGAAGATCATGGGGGGAAAAAGATATGTATAAGGTAAGCGGAGGCCAAAAAACTCAACAACAGAAGTTTTCTAACTAGTTGATTCGCTTCTTTGATTCAAGTAGTTCCTAATAGTTTCCAAAATTTAGATATGTCTCTTTGTAACACAGTATCGATCCACTTAGGGCTCTAACTGATGATGCGAAAAGAATTGAGATAGATCTCAGAAACGTATGAATAAATTCAGAACAAACAACGTTGACAAAGCAATGAAAATGCAAAAAACCCCCCCAAAACTACGATCTGGTGTTTAAGTTCATTCACATACATTTAACTTCTTACATAAGGAGATCAAGTTACCGAAGAAGAAAGCATATATATACTTACGGAAGCATATGAACCCTAAATCCTCAACTTAATTCCTAATAGACAATCCGAGCAGATGTCACGGAATATCGATCTCATAAAGTAAATACAACCTAAATTATCGATCACATAGAGAAAAATCAAGGAATTATTTCCATAACCCCAAATAAATTAAACTATAAGAGATAATTTCATGTGAATTGAAGATCGGAAGATCCCGATGAACATAGCATGATGTGAACTACTGAAGGTAGATGAAGCATGGGCATTTGAAAGAGATACTCACTGTTAGCTTCCTCCATGATGGAATTTGACATGAGATGATGAGGTTTTGAATCGAAGGAACAAAGGGGTTGCTTTTGGACTTTTGGTTTAGTTGAAGAAGATTTGATGGTAGTTGAAAAGATGAAGACAAAGAGAGGGAAATAGACACAGTTGGTTCCGAGGAAACGGTGCACGTGCAGATTAAGCGGCGTAAAATAACAACTATCGGAAACTACTTTATAGTATATAAATATAAAAATTTATATAGACAAAACTGCAAAAATGATCTCTCATGTTTAGTCCACGCTTAATATTTTTTTGTCATGTTTCTATGTGGAAATGGTCTCTCCGAAAATTAAAATGACTAAATTGCCCTCTTGATATATTTTTTTATGTTTTTTCTATTTAATTTAATGTTTTATTAATAATAAAATGGGGCCTACTCTCTCTCTCTCTCTCTCTCTCTCTCTCTCTCTCTCTCTCTCCTAAGAAAACCCACATAGTTCTGCTCAGAAAACACACATAGGAATTCAAACCCGGAGTTGGAGCCAAATCTTTCTTAACTTAAATGTCACCGGAGTTTCCACCGGAGAGAGGTAGAAGACGAGACTACTTCATAAATTCCTTTGAAACATAATCAACCACCTCCGACAATTACTATACATCGCTCTCTCACTATTTTCAGACCACAACCGAAGTTTCCACCTGTTGGGTTTTGAGCACTATAACAACCATATGGTGTACATTCAACCCTAATGCTTTGGATATATGTTTTCTTTAGTTATACATGCAATATTGTTTCCAAAGCTTAAAGCCTATACTATCATACAAAATTTTTGATAATTGAATCATTAAACTAGTTAGATAACTTACCTCTTGTTGTAGCTAGTTGTCTTTGGCCTTTAAGAACTTAGCACCTCAAGTGTAATGCCTTTAATAAGTCACAAACACCACCAACAATTTGGAGGACTTGAGAGAGAGTATACTAGCACTCAAAATCGGCTCTATGAACTCTAAGAACACAAGTGTAGCAGATTTTAGGCTATAGGGTATCATATATATAGTGTAGGAATCCAAGGATCATGGATAAACCCTAATCCATACACTTAGATTATGATCCATAACTCATGTGGTCTAACACTTTATGGATTCTTTCATAACCTTAGCTCATCATGGATCAATAGCCCAACCATATATATATATATATATATATATATATATATATAT